CTAGCAAGGAGATCGGGCTGAAACTATAGCTACAAGCTATCCAAGGATGGTACTATAGAATGTCACCTCAAGGTAGGCCTAGTGGCGTCATCTCTTGGTTAGGCCGGAAACTTATCAATCCACCCTCGTACTTGGGTAGGCACATTTCCTCCGTTAATATGACTTTTAGTTCTTGGAATGTTCATTAAAAATTTTCATTTGACATGTAATCATTTGCAGACTACGTTAATTTAAATTTTCTGCATTCCGTGACAGACATACCTACATGCGCGAATGCTCTGATGTGCTGTCATCATCGTCGCTTTTACGAATTAGTTACTAAACCCCACATAAGTATATACGGTAATTACGAAAAATTACGAAACTGTTGAAGATAAATAATTGCAAACTGATAGTAATTAGGTCTATTCTAAACTAAATTAACCTCTGCTTAACTAAAAAGTAGCTTTTCAGTGAAGCATTATGGCAAGTGGTATTTGATGCAAAAATTCAAGTTTTTAATTTTAATTTAATTCACATTATAGTTCCTTTTTGCACGCTGAAATGATTTTTTTTGAAGTGAAACTTGTTTACGCACGGTAGGGTAAGTTCGTTTCATGCGAGTTGCTATGTAACGAAATCATGCAACGCATTTCCCCCGCTGTCTGTCCCTATGTATGCTTAGATCATTAAAACTACGCAACGGATTTTAATGCGGTTCTTTTTTTTAATAGATAGAGTAATTCAAGAGGAAGGTTTATATGTATAATACATGCATAATATAGTAGAGAAACACTGATAATTCCACAGGTTTGTAATGTGCTTATAAATACTGGCCGGTTTGTATTGTCTTATGACCAAAAAGCTGCGATTGTTGTATATAGAGACTTTCTATAGTATATTTACTATTAGCATTGCACCCGTGCGAAGCATAGTGTACAAATAATACAATTAAACCAATTCCTTAACCCCCATCCCGGTATGTTTGTGTGTCTGAAGAAGTTTCATTTCAGTAGCGTGTTGTATAATTACACGTGTTGTATTTTTTTGTATTTGTAAGTAGGTAGAATGGAAAGAATATTAGCAGTGAAAAGATTTTAATTATTTATTACATGGCAGGTAATCGTTGGTATTAAGACTGTGAGCTTTTGATACTTATGCCTTTTCGAGGGTTGGGTAATTTACTCCTTGATATGAAAGATAAAGAAAGTTTTTTCCAGTCATAGTGAAAATCAAAATTATATTTGTCTTAACGTCCAGTACTCAAAGCTGAGTAGCGCAGGTACAGTTCCCAAGATCTCACAGGGCTGAAAAGGCCACTAGTACAATTTTTCTTATCAACCCTCGAAAAGGCAAACATCATAAAATTGGAAAATCCCACCTGTCACCAGCTCCCAACCCATATGTATACCTGACATTAAATTCGCAAAATATTAATTTATATATTTCATAAGCACATTTGTAATGTTAATCTTCATCTTTCCATTCGGTTCATAAGATAATAAATAATATGAAATTCGACGCACGCATAGGTAGGTAATCATTCATTTAATAAGTGTGTCAAGATCGAATTTAAGGCTTTCAAACGTCACGATGATAAATAAACGTATACTTGGTAAGTAAAAGTAATAACAATCTAGCGGCGGCAGTAATATTTTTGCACCTGCCAATGGCTATAATATGGGAAATCATTAAGGTTTATTACGCAAATCTAATCACGGTTGCCATTATATGCGACGCATAAAATTCAGGATAAAATTCGATTTATCGTTATTAGAACTATACGTCGTTGTATATATGTCTAAAGTAGACGCCGCCAAAGATAATAATCAAACCTCTAGACCAGAGTTTTCGCAACGTTCATTTTATTGTACTAACAATCAACTTTGCCCGTATAGTAAGCATATCAGGCACTTACTTAAATGCATATTTCGTACACATGGTTTTACAGACGCAGGTGGCTCGAATAAAAAAAAAGGGACAACCTGCACAATCTCATGGTGGATGCTTATTGTTTAGATTTCTTTTAATGAAAGATGTCTCAAACGAACTACAAAACTTGGTACGTAGGTACCTAATTTGTATTTCAAACAAATAATAACAGAACTCATAAACTAATGATTAATCCATCGATTGGGTATGACAATATTTACAAAGATTGCCTTTTGCTTTTAAATTGGTAGAAGGTT